CTGCAAACCCCAAAGCCTAAAAAAAATTATACTTAATGTAAATGAGACCATCTAAGCCTGAACCACTGTCACCAGAATTGCTCTTTTCCCCCCCTAATGTTTTTTAAATTATTTAAAATTGAAGGGATAAATAACAGGTTTATTTGGCTTTTACTCTTCTTTTTTTAATAGCAACACTAATAATTTATTTAAACTAAACTTAACCTGATATACCAAGTATTTCTCATTTAAAATCAGTTATAAATCTCTTTGATTTTTGACTCTGTCAGTAGGGTGTGATTGAAAATATTTCACCTGTACTATAGATTTGGGGCAAGAAATGTTAATTAAGGATTCTCAAATGCTGGTTTGGGTGTGTGACACAATATTCCCTGGTTAGTACTAAAGAATAAGTTGTAAGAGAACGTGTCCTACATGTAGTAACAACACCTTTAGGTGCTTGATTTTATCTTGCAAGCACAGTTAGCATTACTCAATGGAAAATATTTGCTTTTTACAAGACTGCTTTATATTTTTTTGCTTCCTTCTCCCCACTTCACCCCCTATTTTTCAGTCTTTTTTTGCTGATTTTGGTGGTTTTAGGCTAAAACTTGAAAGCTGAGGCCAAGCTGAGTTTTGATGTAGGTATTTCTGCTGATGCCAAACTGAAAATATTAAAACCAAACTGCTGCTGACTTCTGTGAGTAACATTACAAAAAACACCTGTGGAAAGACAGAAAATGTGAGACTAATTGAGTGGTTCTAGAACAATTACAAGTGCAGTGCCTGAACTCACTAATTGAAATAAATCTGATTTTAAAGTAATTCTGGTTACAGGGGGATGTTGCCAACATAAAACAGGAGGAGTTTGTCACTCTTGTGCTCCTTGGGTTCTAACACTATTACATGTTTTTAAGAAATTGTTCTGTGCTTTTAGTACGTTAGGAACAGACAATTATTTTGCATTATTATAATATTGTTATAGCAATTATTACAAATATTATGCATGTTAATGAGCTTGAAACTGCAACAGGAAAAGTGCATCTTGACATTTAAAAAAGAGGTTCTGGCATCTTGCTGCTATTTTTTTTTTTTGTTTTCCACACCTCATGCCCCCTCTCCAGTACCTTGTAGATCTGTAAAGAACAACAAATAAAGTTATTTAACTTTTACTGAAACACTTGGAGCTGCTCTGACTGGGCTGGGCAAAACCCTGAGGGAGCGTGTTTGCTGTTGCTCCGTGGTGACTCCTGACCAGGTTAACCTGGGGGGACAAAAAACTCTCAGGCTCTTTATTAATAATTAGGAATTTATTAATAATTAGGAATTATGAAAGAAATGGGAGCCCTGGAAGGAATGTCAGTTTGGGCCATGGCAGGGGGGCCATGTCTGGGAGCAGAGGCACAGCAACACCCCTGAGATTGGTTCTGCAGCCTGGCAAGGTAAGAGAAGGAGAGTCCATCCAAAAGGGAAGTGGAATTCCATAGGGTAACTCCCATCCAGCCACTTTGCAAATAGATATTGTAGAATTAGTAGCACAAGACTTTAAAACAATTTTTTATTAATGGTAGCAGACTTTAAGTTGATTTTAATTTACTTAAGAAGTTACTTGCAAACCAATTGAAACTGTTCTGAGTAAATTTTTTACTAATTACAGTAGCATTTCACTTAGATGGGTTTGATAGACTTAATTAAAATATTCTCCTGTGATCTTAAGCAGGTATAAACAGTGATTTTTTTATGTCTGTACTTCTGTAACTGATTGGAACTAAGTCTTATCCCATGGCAAGGTTATGTTGCCAGAAAGGAAGTTACATCAGGTTTTTCACCTGCTGCTTTGTGGAAATAACGTAGGACTCACTTCCAGTGTTTTGGGGAGGAAATGAGGGAGAGCAGATTTGCTTCTCCCTGTGAGATAAGCCAGAAATTCCCAATTGTTGAGGGCTGTGCTCCTGAGGAGACACACCAACACTGGAGCACAAGGTGGGATCATAAATGGGATTGTAAAAACTCTGTGCTGGCTGGGGAAGAGAGGGTTGTTCCAGGAAGATTTCTTCAGTAAAACAGGGAAATATGGAAAGGAGAAAAGCCCTTTTTCTGGGGGCAGTGTGGAGTTGAGTGATAATCAACCGATTTTTTTTTTTAGAACACACCAATAATCTGAAGTCACACGTTGCAGGTTGAGTTTGCCAATTACTGCCTTAAATTCCAGAGTGACTCTAGATTTGCACTTAATTTGTGTTCTTGTATTAAACACAAGAATGTCCTTAAAAAAGCTTCTAAAATTAGACAGATGTGCAAACAGCTCAACAAAGGCTACTTTTAAATTATTTCCAGAATGCAGAATAGTAGTTTTGTGCAAACAGCTGAATAACAGGCTTATTTTAAATTTTTCCTCCTCTTTGCACAGTACTGACATTGTAGATTTTTATATGTGCATTTATTGCTTGACTTTCTTATTTCCCACCGAGTTTATAACACTTTTTTTGAAGGCAGAGCATAAAGTTGAGTATTTGGTACTTTTTTCTCTCCTGTAGAACCACCATCTGGTAAAACTGAAGGGTAAAAATGAGATATGGCTGCAAACATCAAGTAATAGCAGAAATAACATGGAATTGTGGGACAAAAAATCCCCAAACAACCTATTGTGGCTTACAAGAGCTGTACTACAGTCATATTTGCAGGAGAATAATGAGGTTACAGGAATATACAGCTTCCAAAATCCATGTATGTTGAATTGGAATTCATGGGCAAAGTTTATGTGAGGAGGGAGTATGGGTCAAAATAAAGTGCAATTGAAATTACCAGTCTGGAAAATTGAAGATACACAAATGTAGCATTTATTTTTGCCATTCCTTACTGTACTCCTGCTTAAAAAGTGAGAGCTACTATTTTGTCAAAGTGGGGAAAAAAAAACACCCCAAAGCCAAGTGTCATTAAATTAAATTAAATTTAAAAAAAAAAGGAGAGAGGGTGCAAACAGTGGAAGTTGCAAACAGGGCAATGGAAAGGCTTCTCTCACTAGAGGCTTTTCTAAGAGAAAAAGCACTTTGGTGCCTTTATTAGCAAGACATTGATTGCCTAAAGTAGCCAGGAAATCAAAATACAGTGAGGGAACTGGTGTTAGATGGGGCAAGTCAGAGCCACCCAACTTCCAACTGAGCACTTAGCAAATGGTGTGGCAGCTGGAGACCCTCCTTTAACTCCCCATTTTATCTTTTTCTGTAGAAAACCAGCTTCTATAATAAACATTCCAAATGTTTTAGTGTTTCTCCTCCAAGCCCATCCAGTGTCATTCTGGCTGCCTGAGCCATTGCTCCTCGTGCTGATGGTGCTGAGAAGCTGCATGTGCTGTTTTCAGAGCCCTTGCAAAATCTGTTCCTGTTCCACTTGCTTCACTGTCCTGTCTGAGAGAAATTCAAATATTACTGTGCTCTGTAAAGCAGATTGAAAATTCTAAGCGTTGTTATTTTATTAAGAGAAGTTTGCCTTATGCCAGGGCACTTCTGCCCAGCCTTCCATGTTAAAACCTTCCAAAAATAAATTGAAATTTGGTTATAATTTGGATTGATCAAGATAGATTTGCTTCAGGAGGACAAAAAAACCCAGACTTTTTGGCTCTGGCTGCTCTAATCCTCCACAAAACTGGGAATTAAGGTGGCTGTGGGAGCTGCAAGCCCTGTTTTCTGCAACTTCAGGTCAGTGCTCAAAGGACAGGTTTGGTGATCACTGTTGCATGTAAAGAAAACCCTGTTTCCAAATTGTGTGGTCTCAATTTTCCTATGAACTCAGCTCATTTTTTTTAGGAATAAATGTTCCTGCTGTAACTATTTTAATTTGAAATTCCTTCTGTTTGCATTAAATTTTATTTAGTATAGTAGTAGTATTATTATTTAGTACAGTAGTATTTAGTATTTTATATAATACTCCATCACCATTAATCTTGTGATGCTTGACAAAGTTCAATTAAATATTCTGATCACTCTGCATTCAGAGATCACTTAAATGAAATGGAATTATGTAAAGCTATAAAGTTGCAAACTAATTCATTTAATCGGTTAATTTAGTAAGCAAATTAAATGGACTTATTGACAGTATTAGGAAGTTACAAGATGACTGTTATTATGTTGGGATTCCAGTAAAGTTTGCTGATACCCAGCACCACTCAAAGATTTCGGACTCAATAAGAAAACTTCCTTTTATGGGTCTTTAAAAGCCTTAAAAGCTCATATGCTATAAAAAATATGCTGCCACTACAGTGAAACTGGTGAAATATTCTTAAAATATTCTTAAAATACTAAATATTAGAACCACAGTTGTCATATCTAAAATGTGGTGGTGGTTTAATGTGATTTGGAAACAAATTGTGTTTTGACTGGTCCCCAGGCACGGGAGGTTTTTCTGAGATATAATGTTGCATTTTCTGGGCAGTGTTTTCTGTCAGACTGTTCCTCCTGAGCAAACCAGCGTGATTTTCGATCCAGTCAGATGTCACATTACCCACTGTTTGAATCTGACTGGTGCTGACAAAGAAACCCTCAAAAAACTAAACCACAGCAACTGCAACACAAAATTCCCCCCCAAAACCACCCAAACTCCCCCCTCAGAGCAAATACATTTCCAGCTCCTGGGTTCCAACCTCTGTCCCGAAGTTTTCAGCACTTTATTTTAAAGCTTCACATTGAGACACCAGAAATTGACAACCCAAAATTCTGGAAAACTCTTTTTAACTACTCCCTGCCATAATTATTCTGTAGGACAAATGCTGTATTAACTGCTTGTGTGACAAAACTCAGGGTATTGCATAACACTGCCTTCCAAAGTGATTTTTTTCCCCAATATTCAGGCATGACAAGAGGAGGCAGGAATCAATAACAGCAAACATCTTTCTAGGCTCTCCAGAAACAACTGATCCTGACAGAGAGCAGGTTAGATTAGATATCAGGATGAAATCCTTCCCTGTGAGGGTGGGGAGGGGCTGGAATGGATTTCCCAGAGCAGCTGTGGCTGCCCCAGCCCTGGAAGTGTCCAAGGCCAGCCTGGACTAGTGGAAGGTGTCCCTGGCCATGGCAGGGGGTGGCACTGGATGAGCTCTAAGATCCCCTCTAACCCCCAAAATATTGTTCCAAATTCTCCATGAAGAGTGATAAGGTTGCTGTCGGTAATTTTTGCTGTCCATGTCTCATTTCATACCAGAATTTTAGAATGGAACACACCAGCTGTACCCTGGAACTCCCTCATTCCAGTGGCAGCACCATCCCAGCCTGAATTAGTGTGCACAGCACAAGTGACCACCAGCCCCAGTTTATCCCATCTGAGGCTGCATCCTGGCAGTGTGGGGAGTAGCACATTGTGCCAGTCAGATCTCTCAGCTTTGGAAAAAAAAGCCCCCAGTCCCAAATGTAAAGGAAGGTTTGTGGAACACAGTCCTGCTGTGTGCCAGGAGCAGCACGTGGGAGTTACCTCAGGAGTGAACAGAAGTATCTCGTTTCTAGACTGGTGTAAGAGTGGCAGAAAACTCCCCTTTATCAGGCATTTTCATAACCTTGATTAAAATTCAGATCTTTATGTGCCAGAGAACCCTTGATAAACTCAGATTAAAGCTGTTGGGAGAGGATCAGCTGCCTTTGCTTAATTTTAGAGAAAACAGTAGTTGTAGGGCAGCCTCAGGACACAAAACCAGTGGTAGAACCTGCTGCTGGTGTTGTCACTCCTGTCATCTTTATGGGCATCCCTGGAATCCTCCTGGGCTTCCACAGAGTGGGCACAGGGATTACTCCTGGGCAGTGTCAGCACTGCTGCTTCACCCCACACTGAGCCTCAGCCCTCAGCTGAGTTTAAATGTTAATATGAGCAATTCTTACGCTAGTTCTTGAAGGCTTTTACGATTTACTTCCTTTAAAGTCTTTGCTCTTTCCTTAGGCACAGTAGAAATCTAAATTTATGAAGTATCTTCAACAATAGCTCACCTCCTTGAGAGTTCAACTGTGCAGAGAAAGACAGGTCCTAAATTCCTGGAAGTTCCTCCTGATCCTTTTCATCAGGGAAACCCCTTTCAGGTGAGAAGGGCTCTTGCCCTTATGACCTTGCAGCCTGGTCTCAAAGAAGGTTTCTCTGGATTTGCCACCATTTCCTTAGAAATGTCTCCACAGATCAGGTTGAGTTTTAGAATGTCCCAGCTGAGGTTTTCTGGTGACTACCCTGAGATGTTCTGTAGAAGCTGTCACTGAGATGTGTGTTCACTGTACACAGTTGGAGTTTGCCACCTCTGACTAGTGCTGTACCTGCATCCCAATGGATTCACACTGATGGAGAAGGCTCCACCCACACTGCATAAGCTGAAATCGGGTCTGTAATTCCATTGAGAGCTCTTGGAGTGAGTGTAGAGTCTTTCCAAAAGGCTTGGTGGGTATAGAAATATGGAATCCCAGGCTGGTTTGGGTTGGGAGGGACCTTGAAGCCCATCCAGTGCCACCCCCTGCCATGAGCAGGGACACCTTCCACTGGCCCAGGTTGCTCCAACCTGGCCTTGTACACTTCCAGGGATCCAGAGGCAGCCACAGCTTCTCTGGGCAACCTGTGCCAGGGCCTCCCCACCCTCCCAGCCAGGGAGGAATTCCTTCCCAATATCCCATCTCTCCCTGCCCTCTGGCATTGGGAAGCCATTCCCTGTCGTCCTGTCGCTCCATCCCTTGTAAATACTCTCCATGTTTCTTGTAGCCCCTTCAGGCACTGAAGGGCCACAGTTGGGTCACCCCAAAGCTCTTCTTCTCCAGGCTGAGCAGATCTGCTGCTTTTCCATACGGTGCTTTCTGAACTTTTGTAGTTCACCATTCCACCATTGGCAGCTCTGCCCACGTCCCCAAGGGCTTGGGGTTGCCATCCATTTTGACTGTCTCCACACAGCTTTGATTTCCTTTGCTTTGCACATTGCTCCCTCTCTGAATCCATGACCCAGAGGGAGGCAACTGAGGGACAGGAGCAGAGTTGTCCCGGGGTTCTCTGTGACACTTGGAGCTGTAGGTGTGTGTGAAACGTGCCCAAGCCTGTTCTCATCCTTTCTCCACAAATGGCTGCCTGGGCTGCCTTGGTTTCACTTTCACAAGTGCTCGTCTGTGTTTCAGATCCTCCCCTACAGAAATGAGCAAAGTTGCTTTGGGGGGTTTTAATCCATAATTCAAATGATGGCTCGAGTGATGAGCACAGTGAACAGGTTAGGAAACAGTTAACAATGGTAACAGTTTTAACAATGCACAGTTGTAAAATGTGTTTCCCCTGTCATGGCTACTTTTCCAGTCCCTTTATCAATCAAAATAGCTGGAAACCTTTTAGTTTCTGAAGTATTTTCACTATAGGAGTGAGAGAAACAGGTTTCTTTATATATTAACTTGGAAAATGCTACAAATATTAAATAAAACTCCTATTGTTCAGTCAATAGTTCCTAAATATTTTTACTCTTGATAAGAAAATAATCCAAGTATTGCCATTAGTGAGCTACAGAGAAACCTCACACCTCATCATCGTCTTTCTTAGATGGTTGTGGCTCAGAGATGGTTAATTATATTCAGCCAAATCATTAAAGAAAGTTGACTCACATTCCTTGCTCGTCCAGAATTCCTGATTTTTCCTGTTAAATCCAGGGGAGTTTTGTGGTTTACAGCACCTAAATCAGGGGTATACATCCAGTGTAGGAAATTCTCAGCCTTGATGCTCAGCATCTGAATTAATCTTTCCTGTGGTGGTTTTTTCTTGCATGTAAACAGAGGAAATGCTTTAATGCAAGAAGGAAAAATAGAGGCTTCTGACAATTCCACAGAAATTCAGGAGGCTACACAGTTTCCTACCCATAAGCTGACAGGCAGTTTTTGTGTAGAAACCCTACTTTTGGGGCAGTGGAGCAAATATGTAATTGGAATTTTATATAGTACAGCAGGAGTTTTTAGAAAACTGATTGTTTGGCTTTTTGGGATTTGTAAGAAATCAAAATAGTTTTGTTGGGTTTTCTTGTCCTGTCAAAGCTGCTGACACTTTTAGGCACAGTGGTAACCAGAAAATAAAATCTTAGATGCGTTTAAATGTAAAAGTAAAATCTTAGATGCAGAATTTTAAATTGAAAGAAACCCCCCTGCCTCTGTGTTTTACTCAAACAACTGAATTACTTACAGGAAAGGCTTACCTGAGTAAATACCAATTCTTAATGTTGTACAGTTTGTAAAAATTCACTTTTTTCTGTTCTACTCAACTAAATAGTTACTATTTGGAAAAAAACCTGGTGTCACTAAGTGTCACTGTGAACTGCGTGTGTGCAACTAAATCACTTGGGCAAAAATGGTCACTGTGTTCTGAGCATAAAGCATCAAGAATTGTTTTGTTGGCTAATGATAACATAAACAGTCTGATTGGCTCAGCTTAATCCTTCTTAAGTCTTATTTTTAAAAAGAACAAATCATTGTTACTATTCACCTCAATCATTTAACATTGATGCTGTGCATAAAGGAAAATTAAACCAAGGAAGCTTGCTACTTAAATAATCTTTTTCTTTTTCCAACAAGGAAGCCTCAATTAAACGAATTACAGTTCCAGTTCATCCTCAGGTATGATTTCATGGACCTTCTGGTTTCTAAAGAGTCTTCAATCCTGATAAAACTGCCCTCAGGCTATTGAGAGCTCCAGCACCAAGGACATGCTTTATTCTCCTCTTCCTTTTTTAGGTTGGCAAAATACATTTTGAATCTTTAGAGAACTGAAGGAATGGTTACACCTGAAGGTTGGCTCCAGAAGAGACACATCACCACCACCTTAGAGGAGAATTCTGTTAATTCTGATCTTTGTTTTCCCAAATACATATGAAGGTTGAACTTAATGATCCTGGAGGTCTTTTCCAACCTTAATGATTCTGTGATGTTCCTGCTGGAATAGTTTTGATTCCATAGATGTTTGTATTTTTCCAGAATACTCTTTCCCCCAACAAAAAAGCCCAGCCATTAAGAACAGAAACCACCCAACTTTTCTTTTCCAAGGGGGAAGTGGAACAGATCTCGATGATGAAGCCCAAAGGGCAGACGGAGCACGACGAAGGAATGCTGGAATATTTGGAAGATATCATTGGATCTGCACGGCTGAAGGAGCCCATCCAGACTCTGTGTCGCAGGGTAGAGCTCCTGAACGAGCTCAGGGGAGAGAAGGTGAGGCCTGGGAAGCTTTGATTTAGCATTTCTTATAGAATTATTCTCTAATTCTAGGGATGCACACACAGCTGTGTGAGGAGAACTAAAACCACACTGAATTACTTGTGGAGATCTGTTGCAGGACTTGCTTTCGGAACATTTTATTGATGCATTGACTTCTAAAAGTATTAAATAACTCCTAAAAGTTCTAAATAATAAAAGTTCTTTTTACTTGCTGTGTCCTTGGTAAATCCTAATCCTGTTGCAGGCTTGTTTTAAAGGCCATGAAGGAAAACAAAAGATGTGCAGTTGCAGAATTAACTTTAAAAGGTTGAAATATGGAAAATAAACTTATCTGTGTTCTTTCAGAAAGCTTGTGCTAAATCCCCTCTCCTGATCTCCAGCTCTCCAGAGCTGTGTCCTACAAAAGGTCCTGGGGGGTTTCTCCTCGTGGTTTCCTCCTCTAGGCCTGGCTCTGCCCCAGCTCTGCCCCTCTGTTTTGTTTAGTTAAATCGAGTTAAAATGGTGGAAAAAGAAAAGGATGCCTTGGAAGAGGACAAGAATCACGCCATTGAGTTCCTGTGTTTGGAAAACAAAATATTTAAAGAAAAAAATCATATCTCTCAGTACTATATGTAAGTTATTCTCTAAAGCTTTGGGGTGGCTTTAGAGGGTGGTGTTAAACTCAGCTTTAATATCTCTAATTAGAAATGTTTTGCATTTCTTAATCAGTAATTAATGTTATAGTTCAATACTTTACATAAACCACGTTGTTACACTGAAGCTTCACGGGAAAAAGTGGAGTTTGAGGGTTTATTGTTGTGGGTTTTTTTTCCCCAGCCATGACCTAAAGAAACGAATAAAGGATCTGGAAATGCAGAAAGAAAAAATTAATGAAGAAACAAAAAGCATCAATGAGAAAAGCAGTAAACTTGCAGAGGAAACAAAAACCAAAAATAAAGCTCTGAAAGAACTTGAAAAGTAAGTATTTTAGGGATATATTCACAAGTATTGTGTTTTACATGTTCCCCCACCAAGATCTTAAATTATCTGATGAGCAGAGTCACTTCTGCTGTATCTAAACAGTCCCTGGAATGGATTAAATGATCTTTTGCACAAAAATAAATTACAACAAATTTCCGTTGGTCTGATATGGTTCTGCAAGTTGTTTCTCTCTGAGAATCTGGGTGATATTCAAATATCTGATATTTTTAATGGATTTTAAAGTACATATTTCTTTGTAGTGACTGTAAAAAAATAATTGGGAGGTGGTTTTTAGATTTACAACTGTGATGTTTAGGTGCAGGGATTTAGATATTTTTCTGATGAAACATCATTTCCTCAGGGAAAATACTGTGAATATGGTAAATATTGGATGTTGTTATTCACAAAACCTGAGTAATATTGGTTTACATGCTCTCTACTCCACTGACATTTTTATACTGCATGAAATGGATCATTCTTTATTTTTTCCTTCAGGAAATGCAATAAAATTACAAAGTTCATAGAGGAAAATAAAGAAAAATTTAATCAGTTGGATTTGCAGGATGTGAGAGTGAGGGAAAATCTAAAACATGCCAAAGGCAAGATTAAAAAACTGGAGAAGCAGCTTCAAAAGGATAAAGAAAAGGTAATTGAACCACAACTTGATTTAGTTGGAGAAGTGTAATGGGTTGTGAGAACATCTTTGGGCAGCTGGGAGAAAATAGAAAAGAAACCAATTGCAGTTTGTGCAACAAAGAAGATGGAAAAATGAGGTTGAAATTACTTTAATCAGATATTTTAAGTCCTTTAAATCAGCCCGAGATTTTGTATGCAAATCACTTCCTGCAGTAGTGCATTATGTCCCTTAATTGAGTTAATTTAGTGGCTCTGTGTTCTCAGGTTCGTTGTTTCCAGCTGTTGTGATCTGAAATCACTCTTTGGATCATGTGGGGAGTTCAGAATTCCCTTGGTTTCAGTGGGAGAGGGAATTAAAAGCCTTTTCCTTCTGCAGGTTGAAGAACTGAAGAAAGTCCCTTCCACGAGCAGCAAAGCCATCGATGAGGCAAAGGCAAAGAAGGAGCTCCTGGAAAAGGCAAAGGAGAAGGAGGAAGCAAAACTCCAGCAGGTCCTGGCCAGCCTTCAGGATGAGACAAAAGAAATTCGGAAGGAAAAAGAGGTTTGAACAGTTCTGGCTTGGAAAACTTGCTGTGTTAACTTTGCTGAAGGAAACGATCACAAGACACTTAGGAAATGCCATTTTCCATGACAATTCCACTGTTTCACGTGTTACCTCAGTGCAGCCTCACTGGGAAGTTAATCTTCAATTTATAATTAGAGCTAAATCTTTCTTGTCTGCCCTTATAGTGATCAAGTATATCACTCATATGTTTGTAATAAATAATCTTACACTTCCATCATGTAAATGCACTTTCACTTTCTCCCACCAAACCTTTTAAGCCAATATGCTCCTTCAGTAAAGATATTTTGGAATGGGATGTTCCAAACCTTTCCCAGCTAACAATCTGCCTTTGAATTAATGGACAACTACTCTTGTAGTTGGACAACTACTCTTGTACTCTGGTTGTTGTTGTTGAAGCTGTTCAATCACTGAACACCTGGAGGCTGGAAATTTATCCTGTAAATTTGGGGGGTTATTTTCTGTACTTGAAAATGTGGATTCTCCACTTGAGCTGTAATTTAGCACAAATTGAGAAAATGATATAAAGCTTATATGAAAATGTTCTGTGATAATTCCCTGAAGTTCTTTATAATTAGGACAAATGCCTTGTTTAATTTCCACCCAGAATATGTTAATAAATGAAGAAATCCTGGTTCTTATAGAGCACAGGACTGTTTTCTGCTGACAGCAGAGCTGTAAAAGAGCATCCCATTTCCTCTTTCTCCTTTCCCACAGTGGCACTGAGGTAACAAACCACAGTTGCCTGGTTGATTTGTACCCTCTGGCTGATTTGCAGGGCAAAGAGAAGGAGCTCATGGAGTTCAGTAAGGAGGTGACCGAGGCCCGTTCCAACATGGAGCTCAAGCAGTCGGAGCTGGAGATCTACCTGAGCAGGTACAACACGGCCCTGGCTCAGCTCAGCCAGGCCAAGGAGGCCCTGAGCAGCACCTCAGAGACCCTGAGGGAGAGGAGAGCTGCCATCCAGGACATCGCTGGGAAACTACCCCAGGCCGAGCAGCAGCTGAAGGAGGTGACGCTTGACTTTCCTGTTTCATTTCTTGGAGTCACAACACAATACTGTGACACAAACCAAAGCGAATTGTTAACACTAATCTCAAATAAATAACGTTCAAACCCTACATTCTAATACTCAGTTCACTGAGGGAATAAGTATTTGATTTCACACTTAGTTTGGGTTAAGCCAATGTTAATATTAAGCACTGAAATTACATCCTGCATATCCCTGCAAGGGAATCAGGTTAAATATCACACTGAGACATGTTAAAGAAATAAATGGGTGTATTTCTGAGCCTTCTTCAGGGTGGGGAGGCCCTGGCACAGGTTGCCCAGAGAAGCTGTGGCTGCCCCATCCCTGGAAGTGTTCAAGGGCAGGTTGGAGCAACCTGGTCTAGTGGGAGGTGTCCCTGCTCATGGCAGGGATGGGACTGGATGGGCTTTAAGATCCCCTCCAACCCAAACCATTCTGGGATTATTTGAATTTCATTCCTTGCTCCTCTCTTATTCCCCAAAATAAAAGATAATGCCTGAATCCAGTAGTTTTCACGAGGCTGAGTGAGACAGTGTCTTTCTTTCTTTGAACCCCCAGAAAGAGAAGGCTCTGGAGAAGCTGGGAAGGGAGGAATCGGGGGTGAAGGATCTTGTGCGGAACCTGCGGCGAAAAGTGGAAGAAGCCAAAAGTTCTTTAGCACAAAGTCGCAGTCGAGGAAAAGTGCTCGAGGCTCTGCTCCAGCAGAAGAAATCTGGGAATATTCCTGGACTATATGGAAGACTGGTAAATTTTAGGAGGCTCTTATACTTTTAGGCTTAAACTTTAGAGGAACTGAGTGGTGTTTCTGTGACTGAGTAAATGTGGGATGCCTCACTTCTCTGGTGCTGGGAATTTCGAGAGCAGACCTGTAAATCCTGTGGAATGGCTGTAAGGTAAAACATTTGTCAGTTCTTTCCAGTTGGTTTAAAATTCAGAGCTGAGGTAGAATTGTTCATTCCTGTTGCACATCACTGTAAATGTACATTTGGTATTCTGCAATTTTTCCCCACCTGACCATTCAAGGAGAATTATCTCTGCTTCAGAAAAATGAGTCTGTTCAGTGTATGTACATTTGAAAAAAATGCATAGATTTACTAAAAAGGATAAAACTCCAAGAGCAGCCACAGCTCATCCATGTGCTTCCACCTCAATTCTCAGGGAGACCTGGGAGCCATCGATGACAAGTATGATGTGGCCATTTCCTCGTCATGTGGAGCCTTGGACCACATTGTTGTGGACACCATTGACACTGCCCAGGCCTGTGTGAACTTCCTGAAGGCAGGAAAGATTGGAGTTGCCACCTTTATAGCCCTGGACAAGGTGAGTCCCAGGGCTTGGGCAAAACTAATTGTTTCACTGTTAATTACAGTCTGATTGTGTTTGCTTTAAAGCCTTAACATCCCTTCGAACGATGGAATGACCTCAGCATTTATCCTAAAGGACATCTCCTTCCTTTATTTTCTTTGTGGGCATAGATGACTGTTTGGGAAAAGAAAATGGGAAAAATCCCAACTCCTGAAAATACCCCCCGGCTGTTTGACCTGGTGAAGGTGCAGGACGAGAAGGTTCGCCTGGCGTTTTACTTCGCGCTGCGGG